ACTGAGCAAAGACGGAGGGAAGGAAACGGGAGAACAGATCAGAGGTGGGCGGGCAGGGTCCGGAGGAGGAGGAGGAGGAGACAACGGAGAGGAGCAGTCAAGGACAGCAGCAGGAAGAGGGGGAGTAGAAAGAGAGGAGCGCACCCCAGCAAGAGCAGCAACCGAAAGGGAAGCAGGGGCCAAAGAAACCTCCATAGCAGGAACAGGGGGCGCAAGCACTGAAACGGGAGTGGAAGGAGCAACAGAGCCAGAAGGAGGAGCTGAGGAAGAAAGCGAAGCCTTCTTACCCGCCGGGGAAGAGGAAGGAGAGGAGCCAGGCTTACGCTTCTGACTTAAAGAGACCGGTGTCCCAGCAACTACGTACCGGGCAACGGATTCCAGTGTCTCAACAGGAGAAGCCGAACGAGAGCACACACGACGGCCGTTAGGAGAGCGATGGACATCCGCCCGCACCGACAGGCGGCGGGGAGAGCCGATAGATGGAGGAAGAGGATGGGAAGGAGGATCGGAGGGGGACGAGGAAGGAGACACAGAAGACACGACAGACCGGGTAGAAGGAAGGGGAACCCCAGACAGAGGACCAGGAGGAGGATCCTTCGGGAGAGAACCCAAAGGGACAGAGGAGGGGGCAGTGGGCGCATCAGGGTCCAAGGCCTGGAAACGGTTGTGAGTTTGAGGAAGGCGGGAAGGACGAGGAGAGGAAGAGCGCAACACGCGAGCATAAGAGATATTAGCATAAGGCGGGAGCCGGCGAACCTGGCGCCTCGCCTCAGGAAAAGATAAACGCTCCCGGTGCTTCAAGTTGAGGACGGCTGCCTCAAGCTTGTAATGGACACACGCACGGGAGAAGGTAGGATGGGCCTCACCGCAGTTGAGGCAACGAGCCTGGGGAGAAGCGCACTCCGACTTAGAGTGACCTTCGCCACCACACAAAGGACAGAGAGAGACAGTCCCGGAGCAGCGGAGGGCACCATGCCCAAACCTCCAGCACTTGTTGCAGAGCCGAGGAGAAGGAATGTACTCCTGGACAGAGCACCTGGCACCAGCAAGAATGACAGAGGGTGGAAGGGTCCTACCATCAAAGGTAATCTTCACAACCCGGAGGGGTTGACGGCGACTACCACGAGGGGGACGAGTAAACGTGTCCACCTGGAGAATAGAATGGCCCTGGGCAGCGAGGATATGTCGAATATTGTCGTGGCGGTCGCGTAGGTCCCGAACACCGGTCGCAACATGGGGCGGGAGCAAAATAGTGCCAACACTGGCATTCAACTGAACGTTCTTCGAGACCCGAACGGGGGTCTCGCCAAGGCAGGATAAGGCAGCCAAGCGGGAAGCAGCATCCTGAGAAGGAGCAGCAACGACACGCGTACCGAGACGAGTGGGGTTAAAAGTAATGGAGGCATCCACGGAATCAATGAGATGTCGATGAAGGGAGAAATCGTCAGGAGGCGCAGAATCAAGAGGGAGGAGATCAAAATATTTGGCCCACGAAGCGGGACCAAACAAGGCTTGATAGGTAGCAGAACTGGAAGGAATCGAGCGAGGGCGGCCGTGACGAGAACGGCGGTGAGAACCCCCAGAGAGAGAGGGGTTAAAAGGCGCAGTAGTTACAACTAGAGAAGGAGCCGCGCCAGGGGACGAGGTAGTCACCACTGGGGGCTTGGGGCTCGACCCAACCACAGAGGAGGGAGGGGAGCCAGGGGAAGGAGTCAGAGAGGCCAAAGGAGGAGCAAGGTCGGGGCCCAATGCAGCGGAGGCTACAGAGCCCGGTCTTCCAATACGGACCGACTCGGGGGCTTGGTCGCCCACCCCACGAGCCTGAAAAGGTAAGCCAGAAGCAGCCGAAACAGGGGTTATCATCTTGACGAAATTACGAATTCACTCACGAATGTGCCCCCACACCCACCATGGAGCCACAATTAGAGGCAGGACACCCAACAAGAAGCTATCGCCGATCTTGTCTGGGCCTCCTAGGGGTGCGTCGTGAGTATACGCCCCACAAACGCCACCTTAAGAAACCGACAGTCCGTCGAGATCGGGTTCAGTGACGAAGTGGGGATTGACAATAAAAGGTTCCCCTCGCTCTCGACGTCGGGTACTGCAGTTCTACGGGTGCAAGAGTATGCCTCCTCAAGCACCCGGGCGTCAAAGTAGAAGAAGTCCAAGGGAAGAACCAGAACGAGCAAAAGGTCGGCAGGAAACGGCAAGCAGATAGGAGAAGAGGGGGGAGAAAAACGAAACAGAAGGAAAAGGAAAAGATGCCCAGCAGAATTGGAGAGGACGGCAGCAGGAGCACAAGGCTAGAAAAGGACAGAGGACTGTCCCAAGGAGCATCACACTCCGGCAGCCGCCCACTAAGCCCCCAGACGGCGACAACGAGCTGAGCGGGGAGGGGGTGATATACCTTAAAGAATTGGTGAGAACTTTATACACTTTAATGTGCTTAAATTTATTTAGATCTATGCTGCTTACGAAATAATTTTTAGTTTTATCACCCAATGGTCGAAGTGGTTGGGCATCGTTCCTTTAATCCTTCCTTATATATCCCAGTTCATCCTAATATCCCTTCCACGTGCTATATAATCATTACTAGAGCAGTACTTTCACCTCATTATTACCTTGCCTTTCCTCCCTTCTTCAGAATAAGGTTTTATCCTTATTGATTTTTTTCTCATGAGTCACATCATCAGTCACTTGATGATGTATGATGAAGTGGATGAATGTATGACTGCTGAGTTGTTCATTAAGCAGGAAGCGTCGTGGTCAGACTGAGAGGTCGGACGCGGTGTTCACGCGGTCACCAGTTCCACGTCATCCCTCTGGGTTTCCTTTTCTCCATATATTTGTCACAAAATGCCTTAGTTTTAGTTCGTTACTATTTTTCATCTATTTAATCATATTTTAAATATTCAATCACGTTATATTTACCAATTCTAGCAACTTTTATGTGTTATATTATTTATTGTTTTTATTACGAAACAGTAATAACGTGTTGTGAATGTTGCAACAAAGAAATGACATACTGTGAGTGATACAACACTTAAATAATGTGTTGGCATTGTTCAAATGCAAAAATTAAGTGTTTTTAGTTGGCAACACAAAATAAAGTTATGTGACAGTTACAACGCAGAAATAACGTGCTGTGAGTCCTGCAACATGGTAATACCATGTGGTAGGTGTTGCAACGTTGCAACACATAAATAACGTGTTGTGAGTGTTGTACCGGTCAGGAATAACATATTGCAACACATAATTAACCTGTTGTGAGCAAGGGTTTCGACATGTGTTTTTCTGTGTTGTAACACTCACAACACTTCATTCCTGTGATACAACACTCACAACACTTCATCTGTGATACAACACTCACAACACGGTATTTCCATACGCTGCAACAATCACATGCATTCGTGTTTTGTATGTGTATTTTTATTTCTCTATATATGGACTTTCATTTGCAGCAAGGTTGTCATTCAGGATTCTTTCCTCTCTAGCATCAGTAAAGAAATATAATGAAAAATTATGTTTAATGCCGTAACATACTGAAAGGAATTGACCAAATTTACCTTAACTATTAACTTATTTTACCATAATTATTTTAACTATTACTATAATATTATCATAATTACCTCAACTAAAACTATTACTATATTATTATCATAATTACCTTAATTATTGCTATAATATTGCATAATTTAGTGAAAATACGTAATTTGTATGTCATTGAGAATCTATTCACTAAAATCTTCAATGTCGAGAGATAACTTTAAAAAAATAAATGACAAAGTTTAGTGCAAGAATTAGGAACTTGAAACTTTAAACAACCCATCCTCCTGTTTAGACAGTGGTTTTTGTGACAATGTGCACCATAGTACAAGGATTGACTTAGACAGTGGTTTTTGTGACAATGTGCACCATAGTACAAGGATTGACTTAGACAGTGGTTTTTGTAACAATGTGCAACACAGTACAAAGAGTTACATACTCACCAATCAGATGGTAGGATTTTGTAATTTTCACTTTACAGAGTCAGAAAAAAATGAGGCAAAAAAAACAAACATAAATATTCCAGGCATAGTATAGCACACATATGTACTATATTAGGCCTCATGCAGATATAGTGTATTAGGTCTAGGAAGGTTAGGTTAGGTTAGTTTAATTTGTCTTTGCAACATATATATACAATCTTTTCCGGTTTGTCCCATTTCAATAGTACCGATTTTAACTTTCTAGTTGTGTTTTACGTCAGTATATGTACTATGTTCGTCATCGTTACTATCAGTACTACCAGAGCATGAGGATAGACTAGTATAAACACTAAAGTCATGTTCTATCCATCTGTTTTTTTCTGGGTTTTAAACACTTGTGACCAACTAAAAGAAAAATCCTAATATGATCTATACGTCAAATATACTGATGAATCTCCTTTTTTTATCTAATTATTCAATTGGGATTCCTACCATGCAATCATACTAAAACAAATACGAACATGACAAAATCATGTTGAAATATTGATCCACGAACATGATGAAATATTGATCCATCTCCATTATGTGATAAGTTGGCTTCTGTGCGGACTTCCAATAACAGTGCGTTCAATTGGCCCATTTTTAAGAAATTGCTGGTAACGCGCCCCGCCAATGGCAGGGAGTTTGTATTACAGTATTTAAAAAATCATTGAGGATATCTGGATTTATTGCAGACATTAGGCCACTTCTTAACAACGTGACTTGTGTATTTAAAATGTATACCACCTCGTTCTTAGTCCGTCGGCTTGGGATTGAAGGTGGACTTTTAAGTGTTGTTCATACCCCCCCCCCCTTTCCCAGGATCACGTATAACACAGGTCATCGGCCGACACAGCCCTGACCACCAGTCATGTCACCCATGCTCAACCCTTCATCATCCTCGCCATCAGTTTGTAAACATGTTTACTAAAGTATTGACATTTTACCTCACTGTTGTAATGCCTGACATAGACGAGGAATTTTCAAGAGGTGACTGCCATAACGACCCGTGTAGTTGTACCTAGGAAGATGACTACGAAGCTGGCTAGTGGTCACCGGGTGGAGGCCATGAGCGAGGAGTGGCTGGCCAGGATGGAGGAGGAACAGACGCTCTACAACCATGGTATGGTCCGCCTCAGGCCCGGAGGCTGGCTCTACCCGACGCTCTTCACCAAATATGCTGACACCATCTACAACTTCAAGGTGTGTTGTCATTGTTACTCTGACCCTTGAATATGGGTAATGTACTTGGTTGGAGGGACGGTGCTTGGATCCCTCGCCCCTGGTATATATGTGGGTGACAAATGTATACACTTGTGTTCTCTCTAATGTATACTACAATAAGTTTCTCTTCAGTTCACTGAAGGTGACGTACTTGTGATGGGAATGCCCAGGTCTGGGACGACCTGGATGTTGGAGTTAGTGTGGACGATGCTTCACAACCCCGACCTCAACAACCAGAGGGCCGACCTGCCCATCTTCATCAGAGCACCGCATATAGAGTATGACATTCTTATTAGTTTATCAGTGTGATTGTCTTCGTAACGCCTGGGATAAGTGGTATAATTACTATTGTAGTCTGATTGCTCCTAATAAATCGGTAAGATTTTTTTTTTTATTAATGCTTAGCTGATTAAAGTTATCAGAGCCCCGATTTAGATGGCTTTTCTATGGAAACTACTTTATTGAAACGATAGTTTCAGCAAGTGGCAGTAAATTGGAGTCGTGGTCGAACCACCAGCCAGGTCGGACGTTCCTGAGGTCTCTCTGCTGGTGTTTTCATTGGACGCTTCTCGGTTGCCCTCGCGAGTTTTTTTTTTTTTCTTTTTATTTTTAAAACAGAACAAGTACAGCGTATAGTAACCATATAAACAGGAAAGCACAGAATAACAACAACACAGATAACAAGTAACACAGATCAACACAAAAGTGAAAACAAAGAATAACATAAAACACATAAGAACACACACACACACAAAAAAACAAAAGCAGCACTACCCAGACGGGGCGGGCCAAAAGCGTCAGTAATTACAAAAGCGCACAAGGAGCACAATAAACCAAGGGTAAATTATAAACAGGAATACACATACAAAGAAACACATACAAAAATAACACAAACGCAAAACACACGCACCAGAAACAATAACAAACATGTTAATATAACACTGTAAATACAACATAGTAAGGAAATGCAGGAAAATAACAATGGAATACAGCACAGTACATAAAATAAAGGAAACAGGACACATTAGCATTACATTGTAAAATAACATGGTAAAAAATAAAAGAATCGGTATAGTACAAACCGACATTGGAACATATAACACAGTAAAATGACACAGATAACAGAACAAAGTGTAAAAAAAGCATAAACACACAAACAAACAACACATGCCACCCACATGGGGCATGCCAACAGGAACCATAATGAAAAGCACATAACACAAGGCAGCAATACAAAATGACAATGAACACAAGCATACAAAAAACACACAACAATGGAACACATACAAAACAAACACAGCCACCCAGCACACAAACCCGACCCCCACAAACAGAGGACGGCCAGCCACCAAGCAGAAAAAAACACCCACGCACCGGACACATCAGGAGACAGACATGCCACACAACACCACAGCACACCCATACCCACCCACACACAAACAAAACCCTGCCACACAAGGTAACCAAGCAAACCCCAAAGACAAACAAACACAGACCCCCCAAACCCCCACCCACCAGAGGGAACCGAACCAAAGGAACACGCACAGACACACACACAACCACACCCACAGGAACCCACCACCTACACCAACGCAGCACCCTGGACATACTCGACCGTGAACCAAGCATCAAAAACCCTAGGAAAGGAGCGACGCAACCACCACATAGTATAAGACAGACGGCCTTTCAAAAAACCCAAAATCCTCCTCACCCCACACCCCTCCATCCTACCAACCCATAAACAAAAAATATAGTCCGCTAACAACACCCCGAGCGTGTTACGCACCCGCCTGGAGCCCCGAGGGAACGAAAAAAAAAAAAACCGCAATAGGTCGACCTGCACACCTGGACCACAAAAGGCTGCAATGACATCCCGCAACCACCCAACCAAACCCTGAACCCGCGCACAAAAATAAAAGACGTGCAACTGAGTCTCACGTCTCCCACAATGAACACAACTATCAGAGGCGACCAAACCCAACATAAAGAGCCTCGCATTCGTAGCCAAAGACTCATGCAAATATCGAAAAACCAACTCACGCGTCCGTGGCGCAATACACGGCCCACTCAACGCCTCCCACACATTCCCCCAGTCGAAACAAGGGTACAAACTTTCGACCCTGGGAGGCACCCGAGAGGCAAGCGCCCCATACACCTCCCGACAACCAAAAGAGACAAACCCAGAAAATCGACAAAGCGCCCGAAGGATCAAAACCGCCCACGAATACACTGGAGGCGTATACATGGCCACCTCCTGGCTACGATCCAGATCAAGCAAAAAACTAAACCTCATAGAGCAGTAAAACAACCCCAAGGAGTTTAACCCCCCCCTAACACCAAACTCCTCCGAACCGACCCCCAAAACAAAGCCAACGCATTCACATAGACATCAGGAATACCATTTCCACCTTCTGACACCTTAAGACATAACGTAGATCGACGAACCGGATGATACCGGCCACACCACACATATTGATACACCAAACCCTCCAGAGCGCGAGCCTTCCGCCGATCCAACGGAAAACACTGCGCAACAAACCAGACCCGCGACAAAACCTTACAAGACACGACAATCGCCCGCTGGTAAATAGTCAGGGCCCGTTGCGACAACATCCCCACAGCTACGCCCACCCCCCGCGAAACTGCCTCCCAATTAAACTCCAAAGACTGCACATACGACCTGAACCACGTAATCCCCAGAACCCGAATGGACTGAACCACCGGAAACCATGAACCAGACCACACCAAACGAGAGGCCCAACCCCCCAACCCCAGAAGACAAGACTTTCCACGATTGACCAAAGCCCCTGTAGACGACTCAAATTGAAGCACCAAATCCTGAACAGCAGGCACAGAACCCTCAGAGGCAACAAACAAGACTGTGTCGTCCGCATAACCACAAATCTTGAGGGACAAGCCATTCGGCAAACACGGTGAGACAACTGAACGACAAGCACGCACTGTGCGAACAAAGGGCTCCTGAAACAGAATATATTGAAGCATCGACAGAGGACACCCCTGTCGAACCGAACGCCGAATAGCGAAAGGGGCACTAAGGAACCCATTGACACACACCCTACTACTACAACCAGCATACAAAATCCGTATCCAGCCCACAAACTGGGGCGGGAAACCAAACCTCTCCAGGACCCGCAAAACAAACCCAATTGGCACGCGATCAAAAGCCTTGGACCAATCCAGGCTTATCATGGCCGCGGGAACACCAGACTCCTCCACATAGAGGAGCAAATCCCGAAAAAGGGAATTGCATTGCACCAACGACCTACCCGGAACGCCACAAAACTGACCACAAGAGATCACCGACCCCACAACCGAGCGCAAACGTCCAGCCAACAACTTGGAAATAATCTTGTAATCCACATTGAGCAACGTAATAGGCCGCCAATTTGCAAAAAAACGTAAGTCCCCCGGCTTCGGAAGCAGCCGCACAAGACCATCATTTTGCGAAACGGACAGAGACAAACTCCGAAGACAAAACCGAACTACCTCCAAAAAATCGGCACCAAGCACATCCCAAAACTCGACATAGAACTCCATCGGAAACCCATCCGACCCTGGAACCTTACCACGACGAAAGGATCGCACAACCTCCCAAAGCTCCGAAGGGCTTACCTCCCGCACAAGACCCACACAATCCATACCCGACAACCCCGGTGCACAGTGTTGGAGGAAGGACTCCATCAACCCCTCATCCCCCGCAACCACCCCATACAAAGACTCCAATTCACCACGCACATAATGCAAAATCGCCCCCGTGTCTGACAAAACTGAACCGTCCGGCCGATGAAGACCTGCCAACAAAACAGAGGCACGCCCCACCCGTTCCCTCCGCAGTAAAAACTGCGAGAGCTTCTCACCACACAACCGTTCCTCCACCTCAGCCTGCACACATACCCCCTCAGCCATCTCCTCCCTACGCCCACAAATGAGATCCTTACACACCGAGATCTCCCGAAACCTATCTAAACCCTGATTCAGCAACCCATACAGGCGAAATAACCGTGCCTGCAAGACCCTCAACAGACCAAACCTTCCCGACGCCTCCCGCTTCGCCATCACCCGAAAAAACGACCGGCATTCCACCTTAGCCCACTCCCACCACTCCAGGACCGAGGGAAAAGTCCCCTTCCGAGCGGCCAAAACAGCCCACCGGGTCCGGAACTGGGCACACACAACAGGGCATTTCAGCAACCCACAATTCAGTTTCCACCAGCCACGGCCAAAACGCACCTGGCTGCGAATCCCCACCTGCAACACCACCATGCAATGGTCCGAGAACCCTACGGGAACCGTCTGCAACGAAAAAACCGAACCACCCCCAATAGGCACGTAAAAACGATCAAGGCGAGAGCAAGCCCCACGCGAGATAAAAGTGTATTCCAAAGGACCCCCTTGCAACACGGCCGCATCCCGAAACCCGCAACTCTTCAAGGTAGCAGTCAAAGCCGGCGAGATATTCGCTGGACGAAGACTATTGCTATCCCGCGGCGATGTAATACAATTAAAATCCCCCCCAAAATCATCCCCCTCGTATCGTGCCGCAAAAAATGCAGCACATCACGGGAAAAGAAAACCTCCCGGTTCTGCCTCTGCGTCGCCCCAGATGGCGCGTACACATTCAAGAGAGAGACCTCAGACCCCAAAAAGGAGACCCGAACTAACAGCACCCGACCACCTTCGTCCATCTCCGTGTGAAGCACGGAAATCGGGGCCCGCTTAGAAAGCAGGATCAACGTACCTCCACGCAAGCCACGCGAAGGGTTTAACACCACCGTAAACCCCTCAGCCAACACATGTAACAACCCCACTTCCTGCACATTGTGCTCCTGCACAAAAGCCACATCCACCTGCCACTCACGCAGCATCGACACCAGGCCCAATTGCACAGCCACAGAACGCAAACCATTCACATTCAGCGAAGCACATGTTAATTTAGGAACCATCGGGAAAAAGAGATAAACCCAATCTAACCACAAAACCGTCATACAAGTCCGGCCGACACCCCGTGTCCGGAAGCAGTAGCAGCCGCCACCGGGTTCCCAGGCGACGGAGACGCACTCCCCACAGGAGGGGGGGAGGCCAAAGTCCTTCCGGAGCTTCATCACAAGGCTACGATCATCACTGCCACAGTCCCCCGGATCCACTACCGCCCACTCCGGGCTCCGTACCCCAGGGGACCCACATACGAGATCACCAGGAGGGTCCACAACACACCCTCCACCGCCCAGCACCGACGGGTCTACTACAGACACCGCCACACCCTCACCATCACCGACACTCGCATCAGGCTCTATCCTCCGCACCG